GTGCCTGCTCTGGACAGCCCCACATGGGCTGCAAGTGCCTGCAGTGCAGGGCGCTGGGCATGGGGTGTGTGAGGGGCTGCTTTTCTCTGTGCAGGGAAGGAGCCCAGAAAAAAGCTGAGTGTAGGGGGGAAGTGGCCCCTCCCCCACCCCACGCCCAGTGCCCCACCCCTGATTTCAGAGAATGCCACAATGTTGATTATACTGGGGCATTCTGATATGAAACTTATTAGAAAAAGCAATTATTAAACTATAGTGCTGCTTCATCTTCTAATAATAAGAAAACCATTCTTTTAACACCTCTTTAGCAGCAAATCAATTTAAGCTTTCTAATTTATGAATTAAAATATGTCAATCAGCCCAAAAGGTTATAATTATGAGTGAAATACAACATTAAGTTTGAAGTCCAATTCAGGTTGCCCACAGAGAGGTGATTCAGTTCTTAGAGGACCCCACAGGTTGGAAATTACAACTTAAAGGAGTAGCATCTCAACTGAGGAAGCATTAGCACAAAGCCACAAGAGATACAGGAACAGCAGCTGAATGAACTAGGCTTCCTTCCATGGTGCCATATTACATAATTCGCTCTGTTACCAGAATTTCATAACTTCCTCCTCTGCAGCCAGTACTGGCTACCGTTGAAGGCAGAATAGCAAACTATATAGTTAAATGGTCTAGTCCTGTGTGGCAATTCTTACGAAAGAGACAAGAAAATAAAAGTTGTCTGTCTCAGCCATGGCTCTAAAATGGAGTTCTAAGATTCTTAGTCCCAGCAATAAGGAAGGAGCCAGAAGCCCACGTTAGCTGTATTTTGAGAAATATGAAACAGTTTAACACAAAAGGAAGGCATACACAGTAAATTCTGCTTTAAAGAACATATGATTATATAGTACTGGAAAATAATTACCTATTGCAATAGTTAAATCTCTCCTTAGAGCAAATCCCACTAGTCTCTGAGATTCTTTTGACATTATGACAGGGAAACCATTATAACTAGTTTCATTGATCAAGTTTTCTATATCGTCCACCGTCATATTATCCTGTGTCAGAACTGCCAAAGGTGGATCACTTCTTCGAGGTCTCATAACATCAGCAGCCAGTGTTGTGTGAGTGAATTCTTCCTTAGCATCCAGGAAAGGATATCCATTCAGCCGGATATGCGCTTCATAGATGCCTTCCCTACCAAAGGCATCACCCACCCACTTACTGGTCATTACTGCAGCCATGAGGGGCACAATATATTCCAGGCCCCCTGTTAACTCAAATACAATGACTACTAGGGAGACAGTCATCCTAGTTACACCACCTGCAAAAGAAAAAAAAAACAACCTATATATATGCTAGTAAAAATTACATAGTATCCCAGCTGAGGAATTTCCTGATCTCCTATTAACTGCCAGGTTAATGGCTTTGCTGATGAAAGTCCTCAGCTAATGAATACCCTCTAAGAGCAACTGGTACAGGACTAAAAGAAAATAATAAAACTCTGGAAATAATGGGATATTTGTTTTATTTATTTGTTTGTTTATTCAAGGTATATGCTGCCCTTCTCAACAAAGGCTCAGGGCAGCTTACAACAGAAGAACAGAGTATCTTATAAAACAGGAGTACTAGAAGAGAAGAACCCTAAAGAAATGAAGAGAGAGACTGTGCCTTAAGAAAGAAAAAGCATGTATGATTTTATCATATAAATTAACTAAAACTCCAAAGATTCTGAAATAATCTTTACAACACTAAATTTCTTTTTTCAATGTTATTTAACTAAAATATTAACTACCAAGGCATTCAAGGAACACCCCTCCCCCCAAGATCAGTATTTGGTAAAAACAGAACAAAATTGTTTACAAAGAGAAATGTGAGAAGCAGTTTGAGAGCTGCACTTCTCGAAGGGATTAAGAACTGAATTCTTTAGCTTTTCTCTTTTATACACTCGAAAGAGAACCCTGAACTGACAAAAAATGACCTCCTCTTGGAGCAACTGGAAAGATGCAGATTATATTTCTCTCTCCTAATTTAACATTCAATAGCTCTCTTCCACTGTTGTAAATCATGTGTGTCCTCCTGGAGGGCTTTAGCTAGATTAGTTTCTTTAAATGATACATAAGACACAGCAGGGCAATGGCATCCACAGTAGCTTAGTATATACGTGAAACATTCCCCTGTACTTAAAAATTAGTTGATAATGTTTTTTGCTCTGATAGCCTTGTGTTATCTAAACATGTTCAGGAACAGGAGTGCATCAGGCTTCTTCCTATATATTCAAGACATGAGTAAAGAGCTTTAGGTGGGTTTTTCAAAAAGGATTATGAAGAGGTTCTTTTTAGCCTTTCAATTTTTCCTACCTTTTAATTTGATTGTTCACTGATACAGTTGTTCAAATGGAGAACTGTACAAATGCCTTTTCAAAGTTTAATGAAAGTCAACTACATAAGAAGCTAAAACAAGGCATTCAAACTGAGTGCCCATCTTGAGACACAGAGGGGCTGAATTTCAGGGAGTGGCAGCTCAGCACTTTCTGAAAACCAGACCTCTTAGAAGCATCTCAAATCCAGCCCCTCAAATCATTATTAGTCACTTGTCTTTCCTGATGTCATTTCCAGAAAATATTTTAGGAAAAGATACAGAAAACAACAGCAGCAGATGGAAGGTAAATACCTGAAAATAATTTTAACACCTCTTGATTAACAAACTCTCCACTGTGGGAAATATAACTTTCAAGAATCCTTCCTCTAACTAAGCAATAATTAATGTCTCTCCATGTCCAAAAGAAAGTGGACCTTAGGATTTAAATTCTTCTATTCCATAGAACATACTATAGACCCCCTACCCAAGCAGAGGAGCTTGACCAGG